TGCCGGAAAAGGGTCAAAGGACTTACAGAAAGGCAATTGTTTAGTTTTTAACGAAGGATATCTGAGACAGTTAACGGCTAACATTGACTTGCTTACTTGACGGTTGACGGTAAAAAAATTGCGTTTTCGACGGTTGACGGTTAATATTTTGGCCATTTGACGGTTGACTGTTAACCCCATTGAGACCCTATACTTAGGTAGTTGTAGTACTACATGTTTTGGTTCAAATCCCGTGTAGACCTGAATTTTTTTTCAGACCTTATTTTCACTACTATATATTATATATTATATATTATGGAGGATAACATTCGTGGATCAACGCAACGTGTCAAAGATGAAAACTGGAAAGCTAAGAAAGAAAGGAAGAAAATTGAAATGATTACTCAGTGACATGCTTGGGTAACATAAAATTGCTCAGTACTTGCGATGGTCATCATCATTCATCTCCTGGAAATTCGATAACCGAGTTCTTCTTTAAAGCTACCATCAAAACGACAAAGTCGTTCGCAAAATTTTATATCGTCAAAAGTGTCCTTTATTTTGTGTTTTAATATACACCTAAAGGCCAACTAACACTCTCGATTGTTCTTATGATCTTACTTTCGTAACACTTTAGAACATATTTTGAAGCCCTAAAAAAATGTCACCAGATCTCGAATTAAGGCCTCAGCAAGAAACTTGCTCGCCAGATTTTGCTCATGTAATCAGTGCTATGGCTATTTCGATTGCGTTATCATGCAAACAAAATTACGAGAAAGTATTTCTAATATATAGCTGGAATTAGGGATACCGATACGTATTTATAGTGTCGATTAATAGTTACGTTCTTGGTATCTCGAAATATTAAAACTATACGCATGATAAAGAGAATTAATAGTTAGAAAAATTTGAATAATCATGTTGACAATGATATTGATGATAACAATAATAAAAATAATCATGATAATAAAGATAATAGTAATGTTAATAATAACGTTAATACTGCAAGTCATAATGATAACGATGATATTGATAATCATGCTAATTGCTTACCAAGGGAGAATGTCTCTTTACAATAGCCACTATATGCATTACTCTTTTTTTTTGTACCAATTCTGATAATGTTGGTCGCTCAAACGCATATTTCTGATAAAGTTAATGAACACTACAAATACATTCTTAAACATACAAAATGTATTCACATGGCAAGTCAACGGTTTAGAAGGAACCTTGACATGTTTTGTTTTCGTTATGCAAAAGCCTGGTACACACTACAATTGAAAGCAAAATTAAGTAAACTTATTTCTTATAAAGGGTAAGTATTTTGCTAAAATTGAATTTAAAATTCATCGCCTTTTGATCTCATATTTTTAAAGAACGTTAGCAAAAGAGAGGAGAATCAACCATTCGTCCTCATTCGCCAACAACTTTTCATTCCCTACACGACCAAATCCTCAACGTTTGCGTACAACTGCTCGTCGTAACTTTTCATATTTATCAACTTCTGTGGACGAAGGAAAAGTATAGGAACATTACTCTAACGTCCATAAAAAAATTCTTTATTTATGACCTTATCTCAAATGTTCAAACGTTAGGTATATATCGAAGGTAAAAAAGTGTTCAGTTGTACTTAGTTGGCTGATTAGACAACTCGATAAAGAGTTGAGGCACAAAGTTGCCGAGTTTATCGAGGTTGTACCACTTCGATGTCCTCAAAAATTTTTTATATAAATAACTCGACATATTTTTTGATAACTCCTCATAATATCACTGACTGTAAGAGGTTTACCTTGTGTAATGTTTCCATAGCTTTAAGCTGGTTTCTTAGATCAAAGAACGTTGGTCTTGCATCCGGGTCATCTTGCCAGCATCTCAACATTATGTCATACCTACGTTTCATGTAACACAGGTTGGTATTTGGTATACGTTCATGTATAGTGTATCACATCAAATTGAAACGAAACACGTGTATTGTTTTCATCGCTGTTTCATTGTTGTTTCTCGAAAGTCGTAAAAATGTGATCGCAGAACTACCTTTATTATGATCGCTGCGGCCCCTTGCAAAGGCGAACGAAGATTACACACAAAACAGCAACTTGTTTATTCACAGAGTCATTACGTTCATAGATTTCCATCCAAATGTATACAGAATCACATTAATTGATCGAGGCGAGATGGGCTAAGATGAGTTGAGGCAACGAAAACTAAGAAAACAGAAAGGCATTAACCTAGAATTACAACAAGCTGAAAGCCTTAACTATCAGAGCAGAATTACAGGAAACAAATAATTATGAAATAAACAGAAAACTCACATCTGTGTCCTTTCAACGCTGGGAAACACCTTATAGTCCTTTTATCCGTAACAATGACCGTTAAGCCGTAAAACCGTAACACCGTGAATTTACTGAAAGAATCGAGCAAGCGTGGTCATCTGGTACCCAGTACTCGGCCCAGATCACCATAACGTCACGCAAAGAAACTTAAGTCACACACAATTCTGTGATAACAGCAAATAAGCTAATATTTGCGAAATCTTAACCAATGAACATCTCCATAAAGTAAGGAACGAAATTAATCACTTAAGCAGAAAAACATGCGGTAGATTGAGGCCTTCTAATTACTTGCTAAGTATATCTTAAAAGTCGTAGAATCGGGGTGAAACTTTAGCGCTTACAATTTATCATCCACATGTCGTGGCTTAGGCATTCTGTAGCCCTGCTGAAGTAAGTTTGCAATTTTCTTGCCATCCATCCGTGGATAAGGTGAACCACCTGATATAAAGAAACGGTTGGAAACTATTGCATCACGTGCACAAGTCTATAGCTATGGTTAGATTTTTATCACAACAATGAAATGATCAAAATTGAAATATGACATGGCACGAGTTCTCTCAGTCAGAGAGGAAACCATTTAAATTTAATCATTTTCGGGAATTTATTTCGGCGAAACCAATGCAATCCAGTGGTGAATCGTACAAAAGAATGTTTTGGTGCCTTATTTAAATTTCCCCTAATTTCGTGGCATTGCATGACAAAAAAAAAAAAAACAAATGTGAAGATTCGAAGATCCACTACGAGATTAAATATCAAACTTTTACTGATCGGGAAGATGACTCTGTGAAACGTCTCTTACCTCGTACGTGATATGGAATATCTCCTTCAAAGGCTAGCCGTAGCCACTCTCTAATGTTACATGACGGTATTAAACATAAACCCCTGAGTTAAAAAATAACTGTAGACATCAGACCATCTCTTTTACTGAGCTAATGTAATTCGTTGAAAACTAATCAATAAGCCTTATAATTAGTAGTGGTAGTATAATTAGTATGATATTATGGGTGACAAATTACTCCTTCATTTTGGTGCGAAATTTCAGCGTTAATTCTTAATTTCACGTGTGAAATTACAAAATTGCCGTGGTAACATCTCTTGTATCTCGATCAGAGCCAAGATGGCGTCGAGCTTTAAGACAGTGACCCTTGAAGAAGTTGCGAAATTGAAAGAAGCGGCCGAAAATTTAAATACGTACGATTAACTGGGAGCGAGTTTTTGAGAAGTGGTGTGACGAAAATAGCCTTGAGTAAAACCTGAGAGATGATTCTTCCCTAGCAGTTGGATGAAGTACTCGAGCGATTTTACGCCTCCTTGTGTAAACAAGAACGTAATTTGTCACCCACGATATTAAAAGGTAATCAAATGGTTTTCTCGTMAAATTAGGAAATAATTTCACTTGCGTTTTGTCAAAATTCTGATAATTTCCCTCGCCTAAAGGCTCAGGAAATTATCAGAATTTTGACAAAACGCAAGTGAAATTATTTCCTAATCTCACTCGTCGCCATTTGATTACACATACTTATCAGTATTACCTATAGTAAAAATCTCATAAAGGACAACTCCATAGCTCCATCTACGAGGCAAGAAAACAATGCAGAAATTTCAATAATTTTCAGGAATTTTAAAGATATATGACATTCCTGTCCCTTATAGCAGTATAACGTTCAGCAATATCAATTAATTGATCATATTAGGGACCTATGGAATATAGTCAAAATACATTTCTCGAGATATTCTAAAAAAAATTTTGCCCCGAGGGCATGTTCATGGTTAAATGGAAAAGAAAACGAAACAAAATTCATTTCACATGACTTACACATCACTTTTGGTTGTATATTTTCCATATAACAGCGCCTCATAAGCAGTCCACTTTACTGGAAGACGACCCTTAAAATTTTGATTGGAAAAAGAATCTAAGCAAAGGGTAACTTCATAATTCCCAAATGCTCAACATTGACCAAATTATTTCTAATCCAAAACTTCTGTCTCAAAGTTAGCTGGGACCACAATCTTATATACCCAGTGTTTGGAAACTCAGCTGCTTAAATAAATTCCGCAAAACAGAATCAAGATGAGATAATTTTCATTACAGTTCCATGACTTGAAATATCGAATTCTCAGAGTTGCCTTTAAATGGTACTGACGTTTGCACCGAGATCCAAGCTGATCTTTGCTTACTTACAACCTGGAACATCTATTTGATCACTTTGAACATACAGCAAACGGTACAGTCCGCTAATTTCGCTCTCGTCTCCCGAAATTGACATAATTTAACCACGTGAGTACTGAAGGTCATCGATTACATACTATGTATACGTACTTATGAAGTGAGAGGGAGAGGCGGATGGGAAAATCTTTGGCTCGAGGTCATGACGTACGGACCGAGCGCAGCGAGATCCGTACACACAACCGAGAGTCAATCATTTTACCGTGTGGCCCGATCAAACTCTGGCAATAAGCATTTTATCACATGACCACTAAATGTGGAAAATTTCAACCTAAATAAGTTACAATCGACGGGCATACACAGCGACACGATGCCAAAAAAAAATTGCAACTAAAATTTTCCTTTATTTTTCAAGTCAGAAAAAGAAACTTCCGTTCCTTGGAAAAAAGCGACCATTTTTTTTTTCATTTCTGTTTTCCTTCGCGTTTTTGCAACAGAACAACGTGAAGGCAGCACGGCCGGACAGATTTTTCCGGACCGGTTCACGTCGACCCTTTCGGCCCTCCACACGTCAGCTTTCATTATGGTTTCCTATGGGATTGTGAGCGCGGGGCCGGACGGGCCATATGATAATGAGGCATACCGGCTAACCTTAATAAATGACAGGCACTTTTAGCAGTCTTGACAACGCGTAATCGGCCACATTATAACTTAGATCTTGACCTAGTTTTCTAGAAAGTTTGATGAGGTGGCTAATGTTGTCGGACAGCTAAGCAAGTTTTGGAATGATGCAACTCATCTCTCACTCCCAATGTTATATGACCAGCGTACAATATGCAAAGCGGGCCTCCTTAAATGGATGCAGTAGCTTTAGCGCTTAGATGGCCATGGATTTTTTGAAGAAATTTGATTGGTGAAGAATTCCAGAAAAAATGAGGTTTTTTCTTCGCAGGAAATGTGATCGGTCAATCGATTCACAAAAAATTTCACAACATGGAAAGCAAGACGTAGGGAAATCAGTAAAGAATCGCATAAACAGCTTTATCAAGAAAGTTTACGAGTCAGATGATGTTGGATCTTTAGCTGGATAAGCAGTCGTGCTTGCAACAAATGCGCAACAACAATTGATTTTTAACAGAGGATAAGTCTTAAATAAGAATGCATCAACAGCTACAGTTAGAAAGTGATTGCAAAAGAAAACACTGTTTTTAAAAATATTGTAAATAAAAATATGATTAGGTTTCGAGATAAAAACAAATAAAGTTTTCACGGTAATTTTGACCCTGATAACTCGTGATGCATCACAGGTATCGTGATTCACTAGAAAAAGTTTTTAGAAAGTGTCTCAAATAACTCAAGACGTCAAATTTTTATAAACAAACGAATACATGTCGACGAAACATAGCCTATTTCTCTAATTTCTTATTACCTTTGTCTTTCTTTCATAGATATTTTCCTCTTGCACATTTCTAGCCATTCCAAAATCTGTAACTTTACATGTTTTATCCTCCCCGACCAACACGTTACGAGCTGCGAGGTCTCGGTGGAGGATCTAACGACAAGGAGAATAAATAGACAGTCTGAGATTGTGTGTGACTCCGGATAAAGGACGGTCTTCATAGCATTGAACAGCAACAGAGGTTGTATAATACCGCTAGAAGGTAGTGTTGCAAAGGACTTGTGTTCTCGTGCACAACAGAAAACCTGCCGAATCCCACATATTTATGAGTACCCTGTTCTTCTAGAGGAAGATGACACAATAATATAGTGATTAATTGACATTCATTAAATGGTGACAGTTAACAAATAAGGAAGCCTTGACTGCGTTCTGTGCTTTAGTAAAGCACGCACGAAGCGGCTAGAGCAAAAAAGAAATGAAGGGGAAAACGCGAGATGCGTTCGAGTGATTTTCTCTTCTTCTTGAGTGCTTTAGCCGCTCCCAAGAGCTTTACAACAGAACAGAGCAAAACCAATGCTTCGTTAGTTGTTCTATGATAAATAATCCATCAAATTGGCCACGCATTACCTAATACTTTAAAAACAAATCTTTATCTTTTGATGTGATAGGAAGTTCCGTCAGTTCTTAACACTCGTCAAAAACACTCTACAATAAGCCAATCAGAATCCTTGTTGGAATGGCTCCAATAATCTAATTAGTTGAATAGGACTGAGGCTTTCAAAAACGCCAAACTATCAAAAATCACAATCTTTAGTAGTTCACAAACTAAAATAGTTTGGAAGGTCGTATTAATACAGAATCTGAAGGTGAAACGTCCAGAAAGATGCGGCCGAATTGTGACCTATAAAGCTGCGAAAGTTTTCTACTTGACAATCCGAAAAGAAACTACTTAAGGTGTGTGTTTTATAAATGAACGACAGCCGAGATGAGAGCGCCGTAAAACTAGACAGTTTTGACTGATGTGGCATTCCACTCAACGGATCGGAATGGATATCAGATCAAGCTAAGCTCTTAGGTGTTCACTCGAAGGACGGAAAATGTAATTTCTGAGGCTTGCTTAATTGCGATAACCAGAGATCAGGAGTCGCTCTGACACCATCATGATTAATTTGAACAATTATACCGATTTGGTTATATATTAATCATTCTTTTTGTTCTGTTCTGTTTTTGAACAGGCACCTATAGATGCCATACGATGGTAAGCTGTAAAGTTTTGTTAACTCGCGGAGTCCATTCTGTTTTTCCTTTGAGGATTTTCGACTCTGCTCGCGTTATAATGAATTACGCGCTAGGTATGTTTGCAAATATCTGTTAAATCACGATAAATCATAACAAAATCACGATAGTAAAAATAATGATAATGATAACAACATTAATAATGATTTAAGGGTAATAGCTGGGTGAAGCTGGACATTCTATAGTTACTTGCCATCATTCGTTCGCTTGAACTCATTTCTAGCAAGTGTGTGGCTTCACCTCTCATATGAGGAGGCAGTGGCCACAAAAAATCAGTGAATTCCGAAATTCCTACAGTAACAAGCATACAAAAGAACCAAGGCTGATAGTTTCGAAAGAAACTGTTTGGGGCTGCGTCGGTGGGAGTAACGAAATAATTTGGATATATCAACAAAGTTGAAATGGTAAATTGGCCACCGTAATGATTACAAAAGCTGACGTTTCGAGCGTTAGCCCTTCGTCGGAGCGAATAGAGGAATTGTGGGTTGTGTGTGCTTTTAAAGGCAGAAAATGGAGCTACGTTATTGGTGGGTGCATGGCAACGAGAAAAACATGAATAAATTAGTGGAATGAAAAGCGTTCATTGATCCCTGTGGGATTTAGACTGCCGGTTTGAAAGATGAGCTTTTGTTCAAGATTTTTACGGCTTTCCGTGCCACCTAAGTGCAAGGAAAGACCGCAGATTGCCATATGTTGCTTTAATCCCACAGGGATCAATGAACGCTTTTCATTCCACTAATTTATTCATGTTTTTCTCGTTGCCATGCACCCACCAATAACGTAGCTCCATTTTCTGCCTTTAAAAGCACACACAACCCACAATTCCTCTATTCGCTCCGACGAAGGGCTAACGCTCGAAACGTCAGCTTTTGTAATCATTACGGTGGCCAATTTACCATTTCAACTTTGTTGATATATCCAAAATACAAAAGAACCAGTTCTGATCATTTGCCCCCGCTTAGAAAAATAATAATACTTTTAATTGCCCCCTCAAGTGATAAAAGGATCCAGAGGCATCTCTCTAAAGAGTGGACAATCAACTACTCGTCAGGTAAGAAATTCTTTATTTACATATTTATGTAAATGTTTAAAGAAGCAAAATTATTGTCTGATTTCATGTAACAAAAAGTTCCGAAAATTGTTAAACTTACAGATTTCGACGACAAGTAACTCATTCCATCAGCGATTTGCCAAGCGAACTTCATCAGCTGCTGTGCCCTCAAGTTTGTTTGTGGTTTTATATCCGGGTCTTTGTAGTAAGTGTCATTCAATCCACGGCTCTTTCTCAAGAAACCCAGCAGGTCCCCAAAAGGAACATATTCTATCAACACCAGCAGTGGCTCTGTGAAAATTCGTCAGAATGATAAAAGTTCTAATTACAGCAAAAAGGCATTTCTTAGCTTAGCTATTGTGCCTAGCTAAGAAGCTATTTTATTTCCAGTAGCCCGCTCTAAACAAAAATATTTTGCGGTCTCCGTTCCTCGATCAAGTGAAAATATACTGAACGAAGAGGGAAGTATCATATCTCAAAGGCTTATTTCTTTTGGGCATAACGCTTTTTTTTTGTTTTTGTTTGCCTGATACCTATCTGGACTTTGCCCCATGCGTGCGGAATACGTGATCAAATGCAAGTTGTTCAAGTTGTTTACAAGGAATTGACACGTGATGAGAGATATATACTCTAATGCGGTGGTCTAATCGGTGCGAGACACAAGCTAATGTGGCGATCTGATTGGTACAACATTCGTACCCTAATGCAGCGATTTCATTGGTGCGTGCAACACCGATCTGCTAACATAGAATTATTTTACATTTATAAAATAATAACTAAGAAGTCGCTACGATTAAATTACATTAATGTCTTCTAGAGCTTAGTTACTTCAATCAAACGTTATGCAAAGAATGACTATTTAAGTGCGCCTGCGCTGTTTTGGATAAAATTCACCACGAATGGTAGTACAAGTAAGTCCACCGTCAATTTTGCCGGAAAATCAATTTTGATGTGTTACAATTCAAAAACTGACCATAAAGTAATAACTCTCCACCAAAAACCTCCTGAACTCCGTTGACTGTAATTTCAAAAGTTGTACGTCGAACACGAATAATGAATGAATCGTGCATGGAGCAACTTACCAGATTCTGTAACACATCCCAGAAGTTTGATGACGTGGGCATGTGGTTTTAGCTGCTTCATTGTTCCAAGTTCCGTCATCAGATCTTTCTTGTCCGATTCTGTAGCGTTAACTAAAAACAAAACCAGAAAAGATGAAAGGATTTATTTGTGAATACACCATCCATTAGTATGGGATACTCTCGATTAAAAGTCATCAGAAAGAAGCGTCCACTGCAGCACCTCACACGCGCGTCAAGCGCGTGTGGAAAATGTTAATTCATGAACTTTGTGTAGTAAAGGACTTGCAATAGAAAAATTAAACGCATTCAGCGGTTTACACGCGAATGCGTGTATTTTAACTCGTTTGACTTTCACTGCACGCATTGGCGTGTGTTCTTTCACACGGTTGCTGTCGCTGTGGGGATTTGTGTTTCACTCGACGTGCTTGGCAATTTTAATTCCGTTTCTGCGGCGGACAAAAATGCTAAGTTGAGCATTCAGATACTATCCGCCACTCAGTTAATCTTACGTTTGTGTTCGCTCCTTTCACGTGAAACAAATTTAGCACAGCTTCACCACTTAAGAATTAGCTTGCACTTTCATTTCAAAAAGAAACCATTGTAATCGAAATGCACGAAGGAACGGGAAATAGAGCATCAGAAACCGTTCTCCGTTGCGGAGGACATTCTGTGACTATTGAACATTCTGTGACTATTGAACATTCTGTGGCTATTGAACATTCTGTGACTATTGAACATTCTGTGACTATTGAACATTCTGTGACTATCGAACACAGACAAAGTGGCGCCCCGAATAAAAAATCTGGTCACGTGCTAGGTAACGATTTCTAAAAGAAGATTAAGTTCCCTTTCCTATCGAAGAACTTAGTTATGATTGTGTCAGTGAAGCGCTTCAAGATCTGTTTTTGTTTTATTTTCTTTTTTTCTGTTTTTTTTTTTAAATAGATTTACAAGAAACTATTTGTAGAAGAGCGGAAGCGGTGCGAATGAATTTTTTAAGTCTTGATACATGCGTTTTAAATTCGCAGTAATTCCAAAACAATGCCGTGACTCATTCATGCTCGTCAGTTATCTTACAAAAAAGAATGAATCCAATCTTTTTGTTTCGTTACATGCTCGTTTGTCTCAGTATACACACTTAGTGTGTTCAAATTGACTAACTTCGTGTAAATTACATGTATTTCAAACTCCCACGCGAGCATTTTTTATTACACGAAGATGCGTGCAATGACGCCCAGCCGTTTTTCCGTTGCACGCGTGCAGTGCTCAGGATTTGTACGGGCGGTATGTGCGTGTAGTGCTACGGTACACGTAAGCAGTACTGCAAGTCTCATCACTCTCACAGTTATACCAAAAACAATGCAAAGCGTCGTAAAAGCATGGAGAGTAAGAAACAACAATGTAAACATGACAATTTCAACAGAAGATAAACAATTTTAAGATGAGTAAGATCACACTTTTGAGCATTTTAATAGCCACTGTAGTTGTCCCAGGCCTCCCTCGAAGTTGCTCAGCTGTTCCCTTAGCGACCTGACCGAAAGCACCTTTGCCAATGATTTTTTCAACAGACACGTAATCCCTTGGCACTTCCCAGGAGCGTGTTGATGGATGCAGTGGCGCGTAATCAACCACTTGATGAGCGATTTGTTCTTTGGTATTGCGCTCTCCACTCATTTCTTTGAGATCCATGTATTCTGCACGAGGCTGGATGAAATTTCTCGAACCTGAGCGGCTGGCCTCCCGATCGTTCAAAGGCATTTCGTTCTAAAATCAATAAAAAGAAAGAAACAATTTTCTCTAATTGTCTACATCTAAACTTCAATATGTCCTATTTCTTAAGTCTAAACTTGACCCACTTATAATGTTTGCTAGTAACTCGACGCGGTCACATTTCCAGTAAGACCAGTAACACTCCGTGTTCTTCATTAAAAAGATAATAAAATGATATATATATATACATACATACATACATCTATGTATATGTATATACATACATATCAACATAATTTTTCTTACATCATATACTTCTCTGCTTTCTTCATATGGTCTAAAATAAAAGAAATTGTAGGAGTTAAGTTCTTTTAGCGTTTACAACTGTTTCGTACTTCAATTACTTCCTACACTACTTTGTTGTCAAAAACTGCATATTTGTAGTTTGTCCCTTATTTGTTATTAATATCATTTTTTCTATCTTAAGACTAATGAGTATAATAATGATAAAAGCATTTGTTTATACATGATAAAATTACAGTGTCGCTGATGTAATCGTGTCTAAGTCAAGTCTGAGAAGAAAAAGAAAATTACAGTCGTAATTAAAACTACAACTTCATGATTATAACAACGAGAACATTAACTGAATACTAATAAATTAAAGTGTGGAGAACTCAGGGGGAATATTCATAATTCATCGATTGAAATTGTCCAACGAGTTTTTTAATACTGACATACTGTTGTGTCATTCATCTAATTTCTTTTTTGTGAGCACCCAAGTCTCTTCGAATCATGCAGCATTAGCTGCTTTCAGCATTTCAGTTATCATTATGAACTGTAACAAATGCCTTATTCTAACTCCCGGTTTCTTGGGTAAACTCTCGTAACAAATCAATCCCAGTGGCAATAAGACTCACCTTCGCTTTGACGCAGTTTCTATTAAAGAAGGAGATAAAAGATGAGAGCAAAGTTACAAAACAAAAAGTGAATATTAGAATTAGATGACACCGCAAGGAAAACCAAGAATCGTTTACCTCTTTTTTGAATCCACACCGCATGAATAACGAGAATGATATTGAATAGAAGAAGAACTCCGATGATGGATCCAAGTAAAACGTGTTTGCAAGAACATTCACAAATTTTCTTCTCTGTAAGATAAAAATTCATAGACCCATTCATTTATATTTAATCACTTGGACAGATTAGAACTATTTCATAACCTTCAAAATAAGAAAACGGTCAAACATAAACCTAAGATTGCTGAAGATGACTTTAAAAAAGCGTAGAACATTTCCACATTTAAGTAAATCTGAGCCTGTTCATACCTGGTCTTCTGTTTATGGAGGATTAACGTTTGCAATGCATTTACTAAGCCGTATTTCTAGGATGTTAATGTTAATAAGAAACGTGAAATATACAATTATCCAGTAAAAACAGTTCTACAAATATAATAATCAATATAAAAAAAAACTTTACATGATCATCAACAGCCAAAACTTTTGCAGATCGTAATCAAAACATGACGATGGGTTTCGTATAACCTGGGGTTGCAAAATAAAAATCGTTCGCGTGATAGTTAAGAGTTTTTGTCCCGACTTGCGGCGCGTCTTCACCTGTTAAGTCTTCTGTGGTAGTAGTTGTCTTTGCAGTACTGGAAGGTGCATCAGAAGGTATCTCATCAACAGAAATCGCCTGGATCGATTTCGGGTCAACTGCAAAGTCTCCAAGGCCTTTGCCTCCAGATGTAGCAGCCTTTCTAAGAACTGACAAAACTTTGCTTATCTCTTCATTTTGGTTGAATTCCAACGAGAGATAAACAATGATGCTGCCGCACCTGAGGATAACAACGGAGCCACGACTTAGCATGCGAAGAAAATCCCAGAAAACTTCCTATTGGTAAAGTGACGTCAAGGTGACCGTAATATAAATTTTTATCTAGTATTTAAAAGGATGAATGCCAGCTAAAGTAAATTTTGGCAGCCTGATGAGTGCATCTGATTTCTTTTTGTAACCTCTTACAGAGGCTGTGAGGGAGGCAAAGACTCTTAAACAGTACATGGTTTTTCCCTGAACTTATGAACCAGCAGGAATTGAATACGCAAAATGACAAGCGCCAGTTCAACGATGATCCATGTAGTATATTGCGTCACATAGCGTACCAAAGTTTTACCACTGTAAGGAACCTCCAATAACTTGATCGTGTCGTAAATGTACTCTCCTTAGTAAACGCAAACAACTAATTATGAGTATTGTGTGGTAGATATGCTATCTTGATTATTGACTAAAATGCAGTTCAATTAGAGAAATGAGTGTGATCACTTGACCCATGAATAATACTGTACAAACTGGCGACGAGCATGAAATCCGTTGTAAATGACCCTCTTATAATCTTCTACAACAAATCACAAAATTACGGAATATAATATCATACTTGTACTTTGTTGCTTCGACTTCTTTCAAAGATGGAACTTCTAATTCAAGCACTTCACCCACCTACACGCATTCAGAGTTTAAGAAAAAGTCTATTTATAAATGAGTTGAAACGTGGCAAGTTTCATTAAGCTACATAGGATACCTGACCGTTGAAATACCCTAGATCTTCTCGGGGCGCAAAATCCATTAATTTCCGAGTTAGAATCATTTAACCATTATTCTACGAGGGCTTAGCACTGATTTGGTTATGATAATCTCATATTGGGTAAGCCTGAGTAGAATAATTGTTTAAGTAAAAACGACGCAAAGAAATAAATCTATCATTTGGTTAGCTTTTTGGTTAACAACGACCGGAAGACAAAAGTAACTTTGGTTCCAAGAAGAACAATAACATGATTGACAGTTTCGTGAACACATGACCCAACGAATGAATCAAAAAGAAGGATTTCTGCGCATTTGTCGGTATCCTTCGATAGAAAAGTGGATATTTTGAAAGTTTACAAAGCCCTACACACTCGGAAGTGACCCGAACTGAAGAGTTTTCACGAGAATAGGCCGAGATTATCATGTTTACATAAGGGAGGCGAGCGAAAAAAGTGGTTGATGGCTGCTCGGATCGATCATGGAAAGTGTACCGTCTTATTTTCTTGCTAATGTGTAAAAAGATTTAAGTCTAGAATTTATTTCTTCACATATCATATCATCAATAGGCGCTTTTTGTGAGTATTTTAATTCTCATTTAAGCGCAGTTAATTACTTGGGATGTCAAGTTCAAACGATTATTGCTATGTCGTCCTCTGGAACTAAATGGGAAACGATCTTGAAGGAAACAGGGTGGGTTTTCTTTAGTTTTCTAACGGATCAAGACATTCGCAAGCAATGGCTAAAGAAAATCCGAAGAGGTGTACATGTGGGCCGCAACTTTTCACCAACAAAGAGTACGAGAGTTTACTCGCTGCATTTCTGTAAAGAAGAAATAAGAAAGCGGCCAGAAAATGCATTTAGCGAAGTTTGCATGGTGAACTTCCGAATCGCAAACGACCTCCGCCATTGAACAAGTCAAGTCAAATACTTAAAAAAAAAGAAGCGACTGGACAATTTATTCACGAACGAAGACGATGAATATGTGATCCAAGACCTCAGTTTACCGACGGCTTCTCATACCAACACTTTAGGCAGTAGTTTCGCTTCTATAGCGGACGATGTACGTGTGGTTTCAAATGAGCTGAATGCTGAAGTATTATAATAGTAACAAGAACTACTAAGACTCCAGCTTTTAAAAGCTCAGAAGGAAATCATTCGTTTAAGTGAGTAGCTTACATTCTGCCGAAAACACACCTAGTTACAGCTGAAGCTAACTTCGCGATTTCAAACGAAGTAATTAACCTTCAGTTTGGGGAAGGCAATGAGTCGAAATCGCGTAGAATTTTTGTAAACATCTGTCAGAAAGCGATTCAATTTCATTTAAAACTGATTTTCTTAACTTGCAGAAATTCAGGGCGATGCTTTTGAATCAGAAATAACCCAGGGAAAAACTTGGTAAACATCTAAGCAATTTAAAATTTATAAGCTTCAACTTAGTGTAAACAGTGAAAATATTCAAGCAACCGTTCGATTGCTGGAATAACTAAAATGCTTACTGCTTGAAAATTTGAGCTTTTGTCTGTAGTTCTTTAGCTGGATCGTTTCTGTATTTGAACAAAAAACGTGACTCCTCGCTTTTTAGCTCTGTTGGTTTTCTGCCAGCCGGAGATGAGCCTGAAATATCATCCTCACTAAGCAAAACATGTTAACCCAGTCACTTCTTTGATGATCTGTACTTTTTATCCTACAACGCCGCGTTTTTGCGTATGACCGCTCTCTCGCCCCAGGAGGGCCGCCATTTGAGAATACGGTGTATCGGGATTGTCAAACCACTCTAAAAGGTCAGTAAAACACTGAACTTTAACTTGTCGCAAATGTCATCGGAAAATTAAAACAAATCATATTACGCATGTAGCAAATAAAAACTGCTTTATTTTCTGTTACATGACTTGAAATATTTTCCTACCAAATATAGTTTATTTTGGCGGATTTGGGAGTGGCTCTGTTATTTTCTTAATAGTTAGCTCTTGGGCAAGGGGACGTTTTTTGCACCTCGCTGACAGATTCATTGACCGTATTTGTCGCTGATAGGTTATGAACTCGAGTTTGGAGCAAGGTTACAAGCTCATAGCCTGGCTCCGTTCAGCCAATCAGAAGGCTGGAAATTCTATAGCCATGTACTATGTCCGTAGCTGGATAGAGGAAGTATGTTTCCTTAAGCATTTAAACTAAGGTTGTGCAAAGTTAAATTGTCGCACTCAATTTATGATTTGCGAGTTTTTCTTTGCTCTTGATTTTAAGTAAGTGATTTTGTCCACAATTATTTTATTCGACATTTGACCTACTGGTTCTACTAATAAATTTCAAGGGTTTTTTCAAGAGGTAGATATTTTGTTGTAAATCCACTGAATTTCTTTTACTTACTTTGGACCGTAGTTGCTGAAGGGTTTCTTGAATATTGTTGCAGCAATCTCTGTTAGTGACGGTTAACTTAATCTTGAATTTGTCGTCAATTACAACTTTAGAGAGAAAAATTCAATAGTTCACATCGGCATCATACACACCTGCACACATATGTGAATTTTATGCCTTGTGAATTTCATGCCTTGTCAATTTTACTTTCATCCACGAAAGAGACTAAGTTTAAAAAGCTGCCAATTATTCTGTTTTTTTAATGTTTCTGTGACATTATCGAAATGAAATGCAAGAAATATCTTAAAATCGCTACGTTACATGACAAGATCAAGGTGAAAATATATTAAATCTAATGTACTTACTGAGGTGAAACCATTTGAAAACCGTGTCCAATTCATTTTCAACTTTGCAGCTATACCAACCAGGGCTGGACTCTTTTACTTGAAAAGTCACCTTACTGGGATTATCCTCAGAAGTCCAATTCGTGACGACATCCTCCTTTGTCCAGATAATTGTCGGTATTGGATAACCCTCTTTATAACAAGCAAAGCTAACCTCTTCCCCAGGTTTTTTACTGAATGTCTGATTCCCGGGGTTGGTAATCACCGCTGCATCTTTAAATAAAATAAAACAATACAAAGCAAACCATGAAAATATCTATGTTTTTCACTCTGTGTAACAGGCATACTCATCCATTGAAAATCCAATTGCACCAACCAGAATGACTCATATTCTACTACTGACCTGTATGGGACTTGTGGAAGTTGAGCCATTGAGATATTCAGCATAGCTGATGGGGTCGTACATTTAATTAATAATAACCATAAAAATGAATAATAACCATAAAAATGTTAAAATATTACAATGTGTGTACAATTCCTGAAATGTTTTTCCCCTTAAATTAATGATTCATTGAAGATATTCCGCCATTCTGCTGATTCACAATTCCTCTATTCCATCATTCTGCTGAATAACTCAAGAACTTACTCGCTTCGCAAATTAAGGCCCCGCGCACTTATCTGGCAAAATTTCTTTTGCTCCACCAAATATCTCGAAAAATTTTGTCTCCGCTAAATTTCCAATTTGTCAATCATGCGCGAATTGAAAAAACGGGAAAATATTTGCTGAATCATCAAATGTCAATTATGGATATTCAGATTCAGCAGTACTTGGACCTGAGAATTCAGGTAAACTTGGGGGTCATAATAGTTGTATTCTGAGTATCCTTAGTAGTGATCGGTGAGGCTTGACAAAATTTGGTTGGTAAAAAAGTCACCGGGCGGAGTTGTCTCACTGAAATGATGGCAGATACTTTCGTAGAATAAAAAAAATTCAGTCGCACGCCCGGGCCCTTAGTAGTCCTTTTTAGTAAAAGTCGCTGATTCAAACAGTAAAATGCTCTCTTTTTCTAGAAAAAATTTTCCCCAAAGCTTTCACGATATACAGATCGTGTCTATTGAGACATTTCTACAATGAAAAGTTTTGATTTCAATTATGCGTCGGCCGATGCCACTGTGAAATTATTTTGAGATGTCTTTCTTCTTGAGTAACGTCACTTTCGACAGTAACTGTAAAGATTATATCTCCGGATCTACATGCTTTGCTGACTTCAACGGTAAAATACTTTCTCTTTAAAGAAAAAAAGTTTCCGTACACACATAAGTAAGTTTTATGATGTACCGATCACACCTACAAAGATTTTTCTGCGAGAAAAACTTCCGTTTTAAATCGCGCACAATCCTGAATGATTGTGAGATGTTTATCACTTTCTATTGTCTTCCGTAATGCCAAGGCAAGAATTGAAAACATAATGTGCTGATGGCTATAATACAAAAATTTGACTTCTAAAATAATCAGAAAAAAAAAAAAAAACAATAAGTAGCACCTGGAAACACCGAGTCAAAATTGGGTTAAGATCAGAATTAATCACTCACTCAATCACTCATTTCGACGACGTATATGGCTTTGCTTCCTGTGGGAGGCAGTAGCCACAGAAAGGAGTCTGATTTCTTTAATAGGGGGTATGAGCACAGACATGACCAAACGACTCATAATTTAAACAATTATTCCACGAGCGCGCGTAGGATATCGGATGATAGGTAGCGAACGAGGCCTTTAGGGCAGAGTTGTTTATAATCAGATGATATCCAACAAGGGGGAGTGGAATAATTTTTTGTTGTAAAACGCCTTAAAATATAGATAAATCGTGCCAACCTTATTTTGTAAGAACAAACGGAATGTTACAATGTATACTAAAACACTTTCAGTTTAACTTGTCTTCATACGCTTGCATGGTATTGTGCAATAAACCACACTTTCTATCAGTTTACCGGCTGATATACCACGCGTGATGTTGGAGGAACACGGGGAAAGTTTGTAAAGTGTAAGGCGCAGCCGACTACGATCTGATTATCTGAACGGAAAGTTTTTAAAGTTTGCAACCTGAGTGGTTTTAATACTTTCCCGTGGTTTTTCAGCCAAATAAAGGTCAGTTGTAGAATGATTGGTGAAATTTATTAGGATTATGAGAGCTTAACTTCAGATTCTTTCATACCTTTAATAGACCGAAACACGACAAAAACGGCAAAATCTGAACAACATTGAGCTGTGTGCGCTGATTCAAACACAGTCCACCCATTTTTTTCCCGCCGTACACTATTTTCCTTGAACCAAATTTGTCTCTATAGTCTCAATTTAAATTTAAGCTCTCTTAGGGTCCTCATTAAAATTACAGAAAGAGCTTAAAACGCTTAAACTTGGCAAATACTATCGAATGAAAACTGAAATATTGGACGGCAAATAGAATTGCCATACGTTCTGAGTGCACATTTAATTTGCAAGAGGTTTTTGTTCTCATCAGTAAATAAGAACTTTATCACGAAACCCTCGTGTCTCTACTAAAACGGGACCGAAGCTCTGCGCGACGTCGCGCTGGTTTGCTGACGAGATTGAGGGGAGATTTGGGATAAATTGGCTGCTATTGTGGGATAAATTGGCCACAATAGTGACGCTTTCATTCACCCGACATCAAGAACATTGATCTAATAAACATCACAAACCCTCTTAAGCAAAGGTCGGGTTAAATATCGGCAAAGAGCCAAATACGAATAAAAAGGCAACGGAAGCCTAAAGAGAAGGCCGGAGCATGGGAAGGGGGCGGGAAAATTCTTCTACAGTACCAAAAATCTGTGTTCGGATGTCAACACGATGGGAATGAAGGCGAGAAGGACCGGGAGAGGAACTGACCTTGCTTATAACCTTAGCGCTATTTGATCTGATCTCATTTGATTGGCTTAAATAAGATCTGTGATTGACAACGCTTTTTTCCCTATGCAAAGGCACACGTAAATACTTAACTATATATATGACGGATTAATTTGGATATATCAACAAAGTTGAAATGGTAAATTGGCCACCGTAATGATTACAAAAGCTGACGTTTCGAGCGTTAGCCCTTCGTCGGAGCGAATAGAGGAATTGTGGGTTGTGTGTGCTTTTAAAGGCAGAAAATGGAGCTACGTTATTGGTGGGTGCATGGCAACGAGAAAAACATGAATAAATTAGTGGAATGAAAAGCGTTCATTGATCCCTGTGGGATTTAGACTGCCGGTTTGAAAGATGAGCTTTTGTTCAAGATTTTTACGGCTTTCCGTGCCACCTAAGTGCAAGGAAAGACCGCAGATTGCCATATGTTGCTTAGAATGATTAGGTAAATTAAAATGTCTAGCGACTGGTTTCGATGTGTCCTTGTCATTCCTTTCCACGTCTCGAAGGTGTTCTCGGAATCGGTCACCTAGTCTTCTGCCTGTTTCGCCGATGTATATCTTTTTGCAATAAGTGCAAGTACACATCGAAACCAGTCGCTAGACATTTTAATTTACCCAATCATTCTAAGCAACATATGGCAATCTGCGGTCTTTCCTTGCACTTAGGTGGCACGGAAAGCCGTAAAAATCTTGAACAAAAGCTCATCTTTCAAACCGGCAGTCTAAATCCCACAGGGATCAATGAACGCTTTTCATTCCACTAATTTATTCATGTTTTTCTCGTTGCCATGCACCCACCAATAACGTAGCTCCATTTTCTGCCTTTAAAAGCACACACAACCCACAATTCCTCTATTCGCTCCGACGAAGGGCTAACGCTCGAAACGTCAGCTTTTGTAATCATTACGGTGGCCAATTTACCATTTCAACTTTGTTGATATATCCAAATTATTTCGTTACTCCCACCGACGCAGCCCCAAACAGTTTCTTTCGAAACTATCAGCCTTTATATATATGACGAGCCACGAGATAAAATCACATTATGCTTATGTCATAACGTTGGCCTTTCTGTAAATATTATGTCATAATGGCGCTTAACCTATGATCACTAAGCTAATGAAAACTCGTTAACTGCGTTAGTTTTTTCAGGACGGTTCAGAAGAGTTATTTGTATATGTATTACGTACGTTACAGCGAAATCTTTCACTTTCTTAGAAAAAGCAGTTGAAGGCGTTGTATTATTTAAACTTGCCACTTACATTGTGTCGTCTCCCAATTATATCTGAGAGAATGGAGTGGTAATTTATAGAATTCTTGCTTGAATAAAAATATTTGGGGCGCTTTTCCAGAATCGCTTTGAATAATATATGTTCCATGTTCTTCTAGCAATTTTCTATTGTAAAATGCCTTCTCAAAGAATAAATTTGCTTTTCCACGCAAGCCAAGCCTCATTAACATTTTGAAGTGGAAGAAATTGATCCCACAGGGCATGTACCAGATCTTCTTGAAGTAAATTAGGATTGTAATTTGCATAGTTCAGCAATTTATAAATCTTTCTCTTTTAGGATCATGAACTTTGCAAACAAAATCTATCTGAGATGTAATAAAATATATAAATGCATTGAAAACGAATGAGCTAGGTAGAAGTGTTGCTGTAACCCTTGTGAATTCTTTGGTAAGTTTCGAAAGACTAATGTTCCTGAAAAGGTCGACTTACAGTCTTTTACATTCACCACTAGGGATCTCGTGAATAAGTCAGAATTTAAATAACCGTTGAGGAACTTTTCTTTTTTTTAACAAACGCGTTCTCTAAGATTTCTTAGATAAAATCTATAAAAATTACTGGTCCTCCAAATTCAGTTTCTCTGCTGTGTGGAAGGAGAGAGTCGCTTTTAACAGAAAGGATAAGAGGAATCGTCAGCGATGAACAGCATGAGTCAGACATCAGAGTCAATACTATGTAAATTGGGCACTTAGACAAAAGTGGTCTACGATAATTTGGTTTCATCAGCTGAGTTGGTAATGTGAACAAAATTGTCAGCATAAAGAAACTCTAACTGAAAGTTGACGTTTGGAGCGTTAGCCATTCGTCAGAGCTAATCGATTGGCTATAAACTATTTTACCTATATACTTACAGTTCACAGTTATGCTGGCTGTAGCTATAGCAGGGGTCCCCACTCCATTGCTGGCTATGCATTGATACCCAATTTTGCTATTTGCTGTCCTAGGTCTGGTTATATTCTCAATGATGAGTAGCAGGGCATTAGATACAACATCAGAACTGCCAACCTTAGTCCAAGTTATGCTGGGTTTCGGTTTGCCAAAAGCAGCACATGTCAAGTTCAAGTTACTCCCTTCGACAACGGTTTTTACTTCAGGTGAAACTGTGACTTGTGGAGCATCTGGAAAAAATATACTTGTTAATGAACACCGGTAAAAATACATTTCATGTGGGAAATTAAGAAACTACTCTTAATCTTATCTAAAGGCCTGTATTTTCAAAACAGATAAAAACAGGTAACAGCACCACGTACATGGACAACTATATACAAAGCATATTGAATTTGAGTACTTCTAGCTGAGCAGTTATGAGCCAGTCAATGCTATACTATTCTCCTTATGTAGCGTAAACTAACCAACAGGTAAACTAACCAACAGCTGTGACATTGACAGTATCATTCTTTCCTGCAGCAACTTTGTTGAAAGGGACACAAGTGTACAAACCATCAGACACCACAGTAACATTAAAATTCCCTGAGCTGCTGGTCTCGACGAGGCTACCATTAAAGTACAAATGAAATTGAGTTTCAGGACAAACATCAGTTTGACATGTTAAACTGAGCAAACTTTTGCGAAGAACTGTGGTGTTACTAGGATTTGAAATGAGTTGTGTGCCACCAGGAGCATCTGGAAAAATAAAATAAAATAAAGTAACTGATTAGGGTTACCTTCAAATCTTCTTGGCGAGGTGTACCTTTAAAGTGTTGTATTTTCCTTTTGCGGAAGAAAAAAAATACGCTTCTTTTACTGTTTTTGTCAATACTAAACATGAAAACCGTCCACAGATTGTCATATGAGCTCTGTTCAAAAATATATTTCTCCAGATTTAATTTTTTTTAAATCCCTATCTCAGTTTGTTTTTCTCCAATCTACGCCCACTTATAACATTGCCATATGAACTCGTATCTATACTACCACATTTAAGGCAGGTGTCTGAGTTGACTTATTGAAAATCGAAAAATGTGGCACAAAGTAGAAAATTGAAAATCTTTCCATTTTGCCCAGAGGGATCATGTTTACAGTAAATAGTGTCAGTCGACTCCATCGGACGATATATCGGCCGAGACCATACTATCATCAATATGATGATTAATATTATTATTGGCCAGTACTGAGTACAGAAGGTCGGACAATAGCAGGCAGTATCCGCGTAGACTCGTCGCCTGGTGGAGTTTTCAAGTAAAAGACCAGCATAACATTGAAATCATCATTATGTATACATACCATTTGCCCTTCTGCAAAAGAGTACTACTAGTCTTATTTTTCAAGAAAATCAATTTCAATTACAGGGATACCAAAACATTAAGTACACTTACTTTTCCAAATTTCTAACAAAATTATCCCCGTGTAAATGATAAACATAGTCCAGCTGAATTCGACATCACATTTTTACGTCACAGACGGCCAGTCTCTTCCGAAGTTTTTTTCTTCCTTATTAATTTCGTCTTAATCTTCCTCTCTCTTTACCACGCTCATTTATTTTCCGTTTATTTCTACTAAAAAACATCTCTTGGAAGTTTTCTTCAGTTTTACAGTAAATTACAGGAAAATTACTTAAAATATCGTGATATGGCTGCCTTTAACTTAGTCTACCGACATTGATCCGTACCTAGAACGATGGCTTTCGAGATCTCTCAAAATCATAGGTAGTCCAAGCGTAATGTAAGACTTTTAAAAACAAAAATAATGACAATTCCGGACTACACTTTCGACTCAATAAGAAGCAATTAAATCACTAATTTAGAGTAATTCGAGCAATTTTTTAGCTCATCTACCCAAACAGCATATAAATGGAAAGAGCCAACGAAGACTAGAATTTCCAGTTCACCTACAAGATTCTTTTTCGAACACGGCTTGAAGGAAAATTATACCATGAACTCTCCAGTCTGAATTTTCCATTCAAATTCTTATGCTAAATATTGCGGATAGATCATTTTAGTGACCGACATTAACGTATAACAAGGAAGTGTGATTTTCTTTTTAACTCTGTTTGAGATTATTTTATCCAACAAAGTCGAATTCTACTCTAAAGGACACTGCAATAAGAACACGCCTTACTTTAAGGTGGATTGCAACAGTTTGCAGCTTTTTTTGAATACTTCTTTGCTTTAATGGATCAATACTATCACCCCTTTTCTGCAGATGCTACAAGATAATTCGATAATGGAAGCATCATCAGACTCGTTTAGGATTTATCATCATCTAAATCTAAAATTAAGGGCGTTTTTATATGTTGTGCTGTTTCTATGAAAACCTTTTAAAGTTAAGAAAATGTTTTACCAATAATTAGGCGTTTGTTTGATTCGCTATTATAACATAAACTGAAAATAAGTGGTAGTATTTGCTCCCTTAAAAAAGTGCTGAAAAATTATCAAAACCGTTGTGAGCCACCTTATAGGCACTCGAGAGATTACAGTCCTTTCCGTTATTAGTTATTTATGGACGTAGAAACCGTCTACTGGAAAAAAGGTAGAAGTTTCCTTTCTTCCTTGTACCCTTTTATTGCCGCGCGGTACTCGGCTAAGGCAACCCGACAGTCCTACTCAATACCTCTTACGGATGGCCTTCCTTGACTCTCTCTCGCCATTGCAATGACATTGTAAAACTTATCCTGGTCGAGTATTTTCAACTCACAAATGCCAATAAAGTGGCGGATCTCTCTTCCAAGTGGACCAGACGTGGTTAATCGATAAGGCAATTAACGTTAGCAATCGATAAAAAGAAAAGGTTCTACTGCTACCAATCAATAAATCAATTTTTGTCCTTGTAGAAGAAACACTGATGAAACCATTGATTACAAATTGTCTATGGTTTTATTAAGTAGTGTGAATACATCCAATAGCTTGAAAGTCTTATAGTTAACTGTAGAAACATATTTTATGCTTATTTTTAGGATATTTTTACTATTTAATCGCTAATTTTAATGACAAACCTTTCCAAGACCTTTGGAAAAATTTTGTTGTTCATGCCTGGATGCTCTAATTCTTTATTCACTCATCAGCCCTTATCGCATTTACGCCCACTGTACGAGAGCTCAGCGATATTTGAAGTTTCGAAATGAGGCTATCGGGTCACACAGGTAAAACTTTCAAGTAAAATCGAAGCAAACGGTCTCGTTTGGATTCATTTTTATTCATTTTCTTAAGGATACAGCGTGTTCTCGTCATGGTTAGACATTGTATTGCGTACGGGTGCAACAGCCTATTCAGTGAATCGGCAACTGACGAGATCCACAAGATTGGGATCGAAAGCGCGGTCTTGCCAAACAAGTTCAACTATCAAACTAGAGGCGAACAAAACACACATGAAAAAACCTCTCAAATAAAAAACTTACAAACGACCAGATTGATTTACCGGCAAAAGGGCTTAAATTCATTTCAACACCCGCTACAAAACAAAAACAGATCAGACAACAACTATTGTGTGACTTTGATCAGTTCGCAAGGAGACTGCGTCTGATTTACGCCGAGGGGAGGACAAAAAACTCATCCCTGCCACGTCAAATCTACATGGATACCACCAATACAAAAATCAGTAGCCCTTGAAAACTATTTAGAAGAGGTTAAAAGCGACCTTTCAGAAATAGAAATTACAAAGCCAAGAGATAATTTGCTTCCGGCCGAACGCAAGGCGCTGAGGGCCTTGAAACGTGACTCTGAGTTAAACCTCAAAAAAGGCCGACAAAGGAACAACAAACGCATTGTACATATTTCCATCTGCAATTAGAAGCACTTACACATAGATCTATATTTTTCGACGTGATGTATAATTAAGTACCCTTAATCTACTAAAGAGTTTCTTCTCTTTACGAGCAGATACGTCACGGGACAAAAATGGATAACAGAAAATGTTGCGGAAGACTACTTGATCCAACTGGAATAATAACTCCAAACAGCTTTTGAATGTCCTGAGACGTATGTAAGGTAATTTCATCTCTGCTTTGGATACGCTTCCTGACACCATCATGACCAAGGTATTGACATATCACCTTTGCCCCTCTCCAAAAGTTCCCCTGCGTGTGGCGATGCCTATAGCAAATCCACATTTTTTGTTTATCTTCCTAAACGAGGTGAAATAGGCCAGTCCTTGCCAGGGTTAGCTTGTTTTTACTTAGAACCTCTTTAGATAGGTGGCAGCTTATCAGATAATGTTTTACTTCATGATTGCATTCAGACAGCTGTACCAAACCACTTCAGCCACGCGATGAACCACAGTTTTTTTCCATCTTTTACTATTGAAAAAGCAGATACATGATCAACGTCTCGCCAACGAACGACTTCTTCATGTACTTGTAACTGTTTCCAACGCGATATAAGCACGGGAGATCTAAAAGAACTCATTTTAACTTTGTATACACGATACGATTTCAATTTTCGCGCTAAGGGAGAAGCCTACTGTAATTCGTGAGTGGTCAGTGGTTACGCTGGTGAGATAAAGAATGGGTTTGTGACTTTTCTACTTAATTAAAGAGACTCGCGTCACTCCTATGAATTGGTTAAACGAATACGGACTGCGAGCAGTCTTTTATTTTTCTTAAAGATAGTGAGGTCACGCGTATCCTGTGAGCATGAAGAAGCCGCGAGACGCGTGACTGGTGTCTCGCATTTTTGCTGCTCCACACTCTCGGAGTTGGCAAAGAGAAGACACGTTACTACTGATACGATACAAGAGCTTCGGCGGTTATCTCGATTATCTAAACACATTTATTTACATGGTAAAGATTTCTTTATAAATCTATGAATTAATGCCATTCCTTTTTGGAACGAAATGTATTTGAAAGAAAAAGAGAAAACCAAGCAAAACAAGCTTTGTGTTGTCTGCAACACATAGCATGCTTTTGCTCGACGACTGAGAATCCTAACGCATATTATGATATTTTAATGAATATATTCGAATGTTCCCAAAAATCATCTGATAATCTGCCTGCATCCACCCTACACGGTGAGCCTGAGCCGTAATGTTTTCACTCAGCGGCTGGTCAGCGGTCACGTTTATGAGGTAAACATGGCGCTCGCTTCTTGATCACCTTCCTTGTCGATCGGAAAATCAAAATACCAATGAGATATTGCCTCGAAGATGAAGAAGTTGTATTATGTGATTCCTACTTCCCATTTGAGTCGAAGCTTAGATGGCACAGGTATTTCTTACGGTGGAATCGACCAGGGGAATTCGAACACTAGTTGTAGTGTTTGAATTATTGGAAGAAATGGTCGCATAGGGATGTAGGAATGGTAAGTTTAACGAACAATTGCAAATTTTTCTGCTTGAATTGAAAGCAAAGTTCATTTAAGTTGCTTTCGTATGTATTTCTGACAGTTTTAGATCTACCTGGTAGATTTATTTCTGCTCCGCTTCATGTTGACTTGTCCCTCAAAGTAGCGGCCAAACTCGGAGATTGCCGAAAATCAGGTAAGTTAGCGGAGTTATAAAGTTTTCGCAAAGGTCGGGCCGCGAATTTTTTTTCTGTAGTTACCTCTTCTATGGCATGTACTTCCTAGCTATGTTAGTTGGATCAGTTAAGAACGCCTCACTCTGTCAAAAATTTACCTTGAATTTGATCGGTTTTCGCATGTGTGACTTATGGGAACTGATAGGGTGTCGTTCAAGTCTTCCTGTTTGCTTCATTA